TTTGAATAACTTAGATGGAGTGAGGTACCACCTGTGGAGAATTTTAAAATGAGGTTCTAAATGAGAAGCACATTGAGAAATACATTTTAAGGCCAATGTCATATCTGACCATTCTGTTGGCTACATTCCAACTCAGAGTTTGGGAATTTAGGGGTTCATCTGATCTGATCCGCCAAAATGTGGACGAATTGTAGTTCAGATTTAGAATGAAACAAGTCTCCAAGTCAAGTTTCATGTCCAATTACTTAATGATTGCGGGTAATAGCAATCCTCTATGCAGAATCTGGATCTTTTACAGATAATTTGTCAGAAAGGGATTCAGATCAGTTTTCACAAACAGTTATAGACAGAATGTACTCTTTTAATTTAAAACAGCCCAGTATTATATTCAAATATGTCTTACTTGCAAAAAAATTACTTCTGGATTCTGGAATTGTAGTGGGAGGAAAGTTAAATCAGAAAATACACAATTTAAAGGAACTCTAGAAAAAGACAAATAGATTGGAATCCCAGCTAATGTCCTGAGAAATGCACATTGAGTGGCATGAGAGTTGCAGTATACACCAAGGTAAATTGGAGAGACCGAACTTAATGTAGTGGTTTTGGTACATAGGCCATGTCCCTGAAGCCTGGCAAATGTATGCATTTAAATTATTCACACAGAATGCCTCTAGGGGCTGTCAGTCAGACAATCCACTAAAGGCGTGTCCTCATTAAGGCTTTAAATAACACACAATATATACAAAAGATACAAGTAAAAGTATGACACTAAATATTTTAAAATGGATATATATAGTAATAAACAGTGAAAAATAGCGGCACTCTATAATGTGAGAAATTGAGATCATTGAATTAATCAAATAAAAAAGTGCAAATATATTAACCTTTAAAATGTGTATACAAATGTGTAGTACAATAATGTAAGTGGAAAAAAAACAATAAATAGGAGTACTAGCGTGCACTGTGCAAAACCACACTATGATGTGTAACGTAATGCAAAAAGCTGAAGTGATACCACAAGATTGTGTAAAAAGGCAATTAAACACTAAACTCACACAGGAGTATTCCACGTATGCTGCCATAATTTCTCAATGTAAAAAGAAAACTAGAGAAAGCTGGTAGGGCAATATGCAGGAAGGTAAGATCCCTCTGTAGCCACTCCAGAAATGCTCTCCACTGGTCCTTATGTCCGTCGCCGGCCGTACAGGACTACAGGAAACAGGTAACGCTATTTCCCTTCTGGGAGGCGTGTAAATAATGCTTGAATTCTAGTTCTGTGTTATTATGCACAGTATTATGCTCCTGAACACTGCAAAGGCTTCTCGCAGAGAAGCATTCGATTTAGTGCTTCTGTATGAGAAGCATTCAATTGACTGAAGGTGGCAGTTGCCTCTAATGCCCAGTAGTTGTCCAATACTTTCTACGTGCAGCAATGGATTTGACCTAAGATTTTCAGTCAGGATGATCTCATCATGGGAGGAGCAGATGCCCTGGGAAGACATCCCAGCGTTAGTTTGCCAGTAAGTTTACAGGAATCTTTTTATTTTATTTATTTTTCAAAGGGTGGGATTGACATGTATGCCAAGTGAAGAATATATATATTTTTTTAATGGTAGGGTGCTCTTTTAAGGAATTGACCTACAGGACCTAAACAATAATGGTGTTCTTTTGTCCTTTTGAAACTGTGTCATGAACTTGTAATACATTTATAGCTCTAGAGTGTGGTAAACATATAATATGCATAGTGTATAAATCCATTGTTTGTGACAGAATCCCCAACTCTATCCATCCAATAAAACACATAAAAGTTAGAGCTGTTCTGTTTCCACTAAAGCTTGCATGTTTGGTTGTTTGTATGTTCTACTCATCATAATTTTAGAACATTTAAAAGCAGTTATCCAACAAACGTCAAGTGATTTATGATGGAACATAAAACCTTGCTAGCTTGTGTCGAGACTTGTGCTTTACTTTCCATATAAAGATGCCCTATAAATCAGCATGTTCAAAATCTGAGTCATGGTTAAGATAAATAAGTCTTCATCGAGAAATAACAGGAAGAAGAGGCAGGAGGGATTGGCAGACAAAGAAACATCTAAAGAGCAGCAACAAAACATTTATTCTATCAAATGAATACATGCAGTTTCAACCAAAATCTTTCCTAACATGTTCATTCTTATCTGTGGTTACAAGTCGAACATCAATTTGTATTTCAAATAGAATTATTCTGTAGCATAGTATAGTTTAAAGTCACATTTTCCGTTCTACGTCCTCGTCTTTTATTATCCACATTGGCTGATTTTTGTGTGAGGAATTTCTACTTGGGACTCAAACCCAGTTATTCTAAGGTTACAAAAATAATTACAATGATCAGCATAATCAATTGAAGGGGTCAACAATTTGAAAACCCAATGGGCAAGTAGGATCAAGCATTAACCCCACAGAAAAAAAACACAAATCAAGCATATTATTTTCATGTATTTTGCTGTATAAAATCTAGTCCATAAAGCCTTAATCACTAATACTCTAGTTATGATTACTGGCCTGAATGGCCAGAAGCTACTAGTTTCTGATATAAGACCTGTAAATTTGCTGAACATTTCAGCTCACCAACAACTTTAAGACAGTACAGGATGTTTCGATGGGTGATATCATTCCTACAGTCAGGTTGGTAGGAGGAGTAAATAGATTCTCACATTTCACTGTTAGCATTAAATTAGCATTGCAAAGATTGATAAAGATTGCTGTGACAGTTTTAACTATCTTTATTTTAGAAATGTATGATTTAACTGTATTTACTGTGAGTGGGCATTATACTTAGATACAGACATTCATTTTACATTCTGTGGTAATTTGTAGTAAGCTGCACTGCTAGTAATATATAGAATAATATTCAGGGTACTTGTAAATATCTACAAGCAAGACATTTAACAATTTTATTTACCTCTTTTTTCACATGTGAGAAAATGCATTTGTGCTTTTAAGCTAACATCCCAGGCCCTGTGTGGAATATTGCATGATAAAAGACACTGTATACTATCTAAAAAATTTTTTTCCCAAATATGTTTTAGAAAAGCTTAAAAAAATAAGTGAAAAAAGGTGTGTAAATTTACACTACTTTAATTCTTAAGTTTGTCTGTAAAGAAATCGATACACACAATTGCTGTGTTATGATGTGTTTATAAGCTAGCTGTGTGTCCCTTGCTTCAAATGAATCTATCTTCCAATTTAAAATGAGCTCATTAGTAAAGGGCATCAATGAGAATTCACAGGGAGTTCAAAGTGAATTTTAAAATTTAGGTTAAAATAGTTGAATTAGAACTATTCATTGAGTCAGTTCTGTTTTTAGTTTTGCTATTCTGACATCAAATTTAAAATTCACTTTGTATTCCCAGCAATTCTCACTTCAGTAAACAATCATGAGATAATTTGTTATAACCACCATATATGTCGGTAGAAAATAGAACATTCCCTTTGCATCCCTTTAACTTTGTTGTGCTTTTACTTTAAATAATTTAATAAATGTAAAGAGTTTAACAAAATTGATCTCTCTTATAGTTGGATATTTTTGTTATGAATAATTAGGGGTTGTTTTGCTACTTTATGTACGAAGCAACGCAAGGAAAAAAAACACAATATTAGAAAATCTAAATAGAAAATCGAGAACAAAAAAAAGAAAAGATAAAAGTATAATTATATATGTTGGATCAACAGCAGAAAACAGATGTGAGGAAGGCTGAACTTAATGGACGCAAGTCGCTTTTCAGCTATGTAACTTTGTAACTATATATATGAAATGCAAGTACCTAGTGGCAGTTGGAAGAATTTTAAAATGTTTAAGCAATAGATTTCACCAATTGGGGTTTCCGTGTTACTGAACTCAAGCTCCTGCCTGCCCCATTAAACATTTTTTACTTTTTGAACTTTTGTTCAATTCTAAAAAAATCATGTATGATCTTTTGTGCTGACAGTCATTCTATTTCTGGAATTGACTTTCAATTAGAGTTACAATTACAAATATTTATATAGCACAAACTTATTCCACTACGCTGGACAATAAGCAAAGCAAGACAAATAAGTCCGACAAATTCATTTTACATACAAGGATGATGGATGAGTGACAAACATGCAGAGGTAAGTGAGGGAATCCAGTGATTTGGATATGGGTGATTATAGGTGATTGGGAAGAGAGAGCACAGTGGATCGGAGACAGAAGAGGAAGGATGAGGAAGAGTAGAGGAGTCACTGGGCGAACTGGTAGGCTTCTCTAATGAAGTGTGTATTTAAGGATTTTTTTGAAGGATTTCTGACCTGCTCTGCTCTCAGGAGTGAGTTTTTGCTACCAGTTAGAAATTAGATAGAAATATTGAAAGCAATTCGATAAAAATATCAACATCTTTATTAAGGTAAACATATTCTATACAGTTAAACTGCCAATCATGCAAAATGAGAAGCAAGATAATTCACAGTTATACTAATATATTAGTTCAAGTGTAAATAGTGATGCATGCATATACTGATTAACCTTAAATTACAATTACACTGCCCCTTAATTGTCATATTTTAAACTAACAATCTCTCTCTCTTAGAGATATAATAATTAATCCACGTTTAGCATCATGTCCAAGTTTATATTCTCAGCCCTATTATCTCTACCCCCTCTATACATAATTGTATCAATTTCTCCCCTCAATCTTTAGCTCTGTATGTTTCTTCCTCCAATCTCTAACCATCTTTGTTTCTCCTTCTCAATTTACAACCCTGTATTAGAGATGTCGAGAAGTTCGCGGATGGTTCGCGACATCTCTACCCTGTATATGTCTCCTCCACAATCTCCAATCTTTTTTTATTTTTTTTAATTCTTTATTTTTGTAGTGCAGAAATATACACACATTGTTGTCATGCCCCATCAGCCAACAGTAGATTCACAATACATAGCTTACACTTAGCAAGGCAGTGAGAGAGACATGCACATTTTTTTTTTGAACAGGTATAACAACAGGGTTAGAGACTTGCTTAGTATATTTTGTAGGATTACAGGCATTATAGAGACATTTCGGCAGGAGTGTGTGACATATAAGATAGAGTTTTGCTGACAACGACACCTGTGCTACACTATCCTATACGTTAACAGGTTGATGCTATTAATGCCAGACGATATGCAAATGTGGTTATTAATAAAGGTCATGCTATTTTAAGATAGGCAAACAAGAGTAATTATAACATGCTTTAACTTTTAGTTAGCTTATGGTGGATAATTATGTTAGCACTGAATTGTGAGTAGAGACTATGCGGACTCATGAGAGACCCCTAAGGAGGTTCGCAATACACAGGTATGAGTCCCATAATAAAAATTAAATAAAAAAGGAAAAAACTATAAAAAAAAAATTAAACAAAGGAGTACAAGAATACCCCAGTTTGGGTTGAATGGGACATTTTAGACCTATATGCACAGCATAACGTCCCCAAAAGTCCAGGCTTCTCGGGCTGCACTGCCACAATTTGGGATCAACAATTTGGCGGGTCCTGCCAGTGCAGGTTTGCATAAAAGCAACTCACTGTGTCTGACCAGTCTGGAGGCAAATGCAGTTGTGAGAGTTCCTCTGGTTTATGGAGAGGTAAGAAGTATTGGGCACTTTGCCTAACATTAAGTCCCCTTCTTGAGTTGATTCATCCGATGCCTTGTTGGGGGTAGGTGTGCTCCCCTCGCGCTGACAGTTGCAGCGGTGATGTGTGGCATCGCCCGATTGTTCAGGTGGTAATTGCTGCGTAAGTGTCCTTCTGGGTGCCTTGTGGCACAAATGGGGTGATGTTGGCTGGGTCCCATCTGCTGGTCGAGGGGCCTTGTTCTCTTGTTCCACGTTGTTGCAAAGCGTCTGCTGGTACGCCCAAGTTTTGCAGGAGTGCTGCTGCTTCTTGCATATCCTGCACATAGTATACGGTGTCCCCGTGTTGGATGTGCAGCTTTCGTGGCGGGCGCCACTGGTAGCGTATGTCGTGCTCCCGGAGCAGGGTGGTGAACGGCCTCATCGTTCCCCTCCATTGAAGGGTGTCTCCCGTGAGATCCGCATAAAAAGTGAGGGTCATATTTTCAAAAGTGTAAAAAAAAAAAAAAAGCTTGAGTGCTGCTAGTACCGTCGCTTTGTCCGCTCTGCTGCGGAACTTCACCATCAGGTCCCGGGTCGCTGTGGCAGGGGCTTTCCGGAGTTTGGGTATGCGGAAGACCCCCTCTGGTACTATGTTTTTGGCCCTTTTGGGTGTTAGTAGGGCCCCCAGTAACCTCAGCAGCAGATGAGGTAGTTCTTCTGTCGGCACCTCTTCTGGTACTCCCCTTACTTTGAGGTTATTTCGGCGCTTTTCATCCTCCAGCATTGCGAAGCGCTGCTCCGTTAGGCCCTGTTGTTTCTTTAGTTCGGCCGTTTCACCCCGGAGCTCGGTTATGGCGCTGGTCCTGGCCTCTGCCGAGGTTTCCACCTTGCCCAGGTGGCTCACCATTCCTTTGAGGTCAGTGCGGAGTAATGCCACGTCGGCCTGGATTTTTTTTGGAGGTCCCCCAGCATTGCTTTTGAGGGTTGCCTCCGTCACAGGTGCTGAGGTCTTTGGGGCTGGCCGTGGCTGGGGTGGTTGAGGCAGCCCCACGGTGCTGTCGTCCAGAGACAGGTCCTCCGAGGAGTCAGCCATCTTGGGTCCGCATGCACATTTCCCCTATAGTCATGCCCGGCTGAAGCTTGTCTGACTTCTGCTTCTTCGCCTTTCTGCCCATGGTCAGCTTGGGGTCAGTTTCAGCGTTTTCCACTTAATTGTGGGGGTCTTAAGTTAGCGTTAATCAGTATCGCTCACGGAGCTCAGTTCACATGCGTCCATCTTGTTCAGTCGCTCGGCTCCACACCCACAATCTCCAGTCTTAAATGCTCTAATTATCTAACCCAGAAGTGCCAAATAGGTAGATCCCCAGATGTTTAGAAAACTACAACATCCGTGATGCTTTGTCATTCTAACACATTCTGCAAAGCATCATTGGAGTTGCAGTTCTACAACATCTGGGGATCTAAATTTTGGGCACCAATGTTCTAATACTGGCTTAGGCAACCTTTTGTACTCCAGGTGTTTTGGACTACACCTCCCATGATGCTTTGTCAGCATTATAGGTGTAAGAGCATTATGGGTGATTTAGTCCATAACATCTGGAGTGCCAAAGGTTGCCTATCCCTGCTCTAATACCTCTGCTCTATAAAACTTCAATTTCCAGCCATTTCAGTCACATGATAATTCTTTTAAATCAGGGTTATTCTGCTATTCACAGCATAGAGTTAAATGGACCTGATGTCATGTATCCTATATGAGGTGCAGAATACCTTGTATGGTGCTGGGAGTTCTAAGAAGCAGTTCTTATGAGAATTTCTTTTTTTTTTTTCAAAATAAAGCCAAAAGACACTGGACTTATGCACAAAATGGGGTTCTGCCAAATAATAAAAATTTTAATTCGGGTAATCTCCATGTGGTTGTCGCTCTCCAGAATATCGTCCATGAAAAAAAATTGGGAAACAATTCAGATTAACCAAAAAGGAAGTGAGAATGAGCCAATCAGTGTACTTCAAAATATATACATAATAAAAATATTTTCCTGCCATTTAGTTCACAGATCAAGTGACAAAAAAGTAACCAATAGAGGGAAAGTGAGGACGCGCAGTAATAAATCTGCGTAATTTATAAATCTAAATATAGTTATATATTTTTTTTTTTACTTCTCCTCTTTTCCTTTTATTGGTCATTTCTCCCCTGGTTTGTGAATATAATGAATATATAGTGGCTGTCCCCTAACCATCAATCATCTTTTTTCTCATTAATCATTTATTAGTTTTTTGGCTCCACGAAAGGAATTCCGAATAACAAATCAAACGAACATGCTCTATCATTGCGTGAGCTGTACATCCATTGCACGAGTCGTACATCCATTGCATGAGACATACATCCATTGCATGAGTCGGACATCCATTGCATGAGACGTACATCCATTGCACGAGTCGGACAACCATTGTGTAACGAGAATATACCCCAACACGCAGGATTTAGCTAAACAAAAGACAACACAGAGGAGAGATACGTCTACCGGACCTTAGAATGGCCGGACTCGACGTATATGAGAGGAGACAGAGTCAGGAACAATCCGAAATCAAGGGCACAGAGAGACAGCGTAAACTAGGACAAGCCGGGGTCTGGTACACAGTAAACAACAAGCCGACAACCAGAACAGATAAGGATAAAGAGAAAACGTAGTCAGAAACAAAGCCAAGGTCAATACGGAGAAACACAACTGAACACAACAAGCGCTAAAGGGAACTGATACAGAAACCACGATAGGGCAAGGAACAAAGGAAAGAAGGTGAGTATAAATACCTAAACATCTACTTTGATTGGTCCCTGTCACATCCACGCCCCCAAAAGGTAAGTGTATGGGGAGTGTGGCATGACAGGGACCAATGGGATGCCTTTTCCAATTTAGGCACCCACTGTCCCTTTAAGAGCGCGCCCGATACCCGCGGCGCGCTCTTAGAGTAGGTGGAACATGTGACCGCTACTAGTCACAGCGGTCGGCTGAGCCGCGCGCGGCTCGTGCAGCAGCAGGACCGCGCGCGGCTCGAACAGAGGACCCCGGCCGGCCCCTGGAAAGGGTAAGTACCGCTACACATTGCACGAGTCGTACATTCCTTGCACGAGTCGTACATTCCTTGCACGAGTCGTACATCCATTGCACGAGTCGTACATCCATTGCACGAGTCGTACATCTATTGCAGGAGTCGTACATCCATTGCACGAGTTGTACATCCATTGCAAGAGTCGTACATCCATTGCACGAGTCGTACATCCATTGCACGAGTCGTACATCCATTGCATGAGTCGTACATCCAGAGCATAAGTCATACATACATTGCATAAGTCGTACATATGGAGCTCTGGAGTTATGGTGCTTGGCACTCTGCTGATTGGCCTAGATTCGGATGAATTGCAATTTGGCAGAAAATAAAGGCACAAGTCTAGTAGACACCTAATATAATTATAGTGTGCTATGTCATGTTTCTAAAGTAAACCCTCTTCTATGCTTCAGAAAATAGCATACAGCTTGTCAAGAGAGAGACTACAGATACTCACAATTTCTCCAGACGTGTTATTGCATTCATCCACGCGAGAAATTATCACCCATAACTAGGGATACGATCTTCTAGCAGCACAATCCAAATTCTTTAGGGGAAAAAAAGTAAATACCTTGCTTCGTTAATACATGCCTTTCTTTTTTCTTTAATAAAGAGTTGTGAATTAACTAGCATCTCTCTGTTTCAAATGTCATTTCCCAGTAGTTTCTCTGTAGGATATATTTTATTTACTCCTTTTTGGAAAAAAAAAATTGACAAAATTAAGACTTTCAGATTCAAGTTCAATCATACCTAGGTCTTAACAGCTTTTATAACTTACCGGTAGTTTGTGGTGGCCTATTTATTACGGTAAAGACACGGTAGTGTGTGAAATGCGTAGAAATGTAGAAAATTCATACCTAAACCGTAAAACTTTGGAACAATTTATATTGACCTTTAAGATAGGCCCAAAATAAATATTTCCTTAGAAAAATTACCTATTCTGCCTGCTTTCTATTAGCTAAACTATTGTAATAAGTATTAACATGTGGGTAATTTTCGTTGGATGAGTTGCACTTATCCATAACCACACTTCTTTCATTCCAGATTTCAAACAACCATGAATTAACCAACCATCTTATTTAAATTTTTTTGAAACCTGGCCTTGCACACTTCTTTCCATAGGTATTATACTATTACAGTGTTTAAAATTATGCTAAGAAATTAAAAAGCCTCTTTTATAGACATTTCTGGTTATTTAGTTCCACACTGTACTGGAAAATATCTTCTCATAACTATTTGAAGTCCAAATGTAACAAATCAGAGAGGGATATCATATTATGCTATGTAGTTCATCTTGATTACCGCACCAATGATTTCTGTAATTTAAATTTTGGCTTATGCGATCATACCAATTGTGGTTAAAGACTTAAATGGGTCAAAACATTGACAGGTCATGTGTGTGGGCTATAATCAAGGCAAATTATAGTTCAGAAAACGTTGTAGACTTTGTCTTTTTACTAAATAAGAAGGTTTCTCACCCTTGACTTCTAATGTTGGGTACAACACCTCAACAACTTTG